GCCGCGGGCACGCTGAGGGCAGGCGAGGCCGGCCCGGACCCCGCTGCTCAGACGCCTGGACCAGAGGAAGCCGTGGCGTCGGGAGCTGGGGAGTGAGAGGCGGTGGACGTGGCCAGGAATCTGACGCCGAGCTGGCTTCCAGGAGGCTCAGGGAAGCTTCTCCAAGTGGATATTAAAAAGGAGCCGAGTGGGTGGAGAGAGGCCGCCGGAAGCACCGAGCCGCCAGCCTGGACACGGTCCTCCCTCCGTGGTCCCGTCGCCTGCCCGTCCGTGGACCGGGACCCGGGCCGTGGGAGCCCTTCGAGGCCCAGGGCTGCCCTCGCTCCTCCCCCTCCCTCCTCCTCCTCTTCCTCCTCCTCCTCCTCGCTTTCCTGCTCCCCGCACTCCGATTTAGACACAATGCTACGCGGCGCCGGGCACACATATGAGCAGCACATGGAGATGTGATCGGAGGGCTCGCGATCGCAGCAGATTGAAGAAATTAGACCAGACAAAGCGTGTTTTGGAGGAGGAGGAGAAGGAGGAGGAGGAGGGAGGGCGACGGGAGGAAGGGGAGGACGCCTCTGGAGAGGGGACCGGGACTCCGCCCGCTGCCAAGTCTGTCGAAGTGATGGAGAGAGACCGGATCTCAGGTAGGGAGCCCCCCGCCCCCCAGCCTCCCTGATGCTTCGGGAGTCGGCGCCCAGGGGCCACTTGGGCTCATTCTTGTGGGCGTGTTCCTCCTCCTGGTGACCGTTCCGAGGTCGTGGCAGGTCGTGCTCCTAAAGCGAAGCCGCACTGAGTCCCCTCCCCGCCCCCCGTGCCACTCACTTCCGCACGGGGAGCGGCTGGGACAGGCCGAGGCCCTGGACTCCGGGCGGGTGGGGGGACCTGGGCGGCGGCGTTGGGCGGAGTTGGGGGCGCGGGCTGGTGGTGGTTTGCCCTCCGTGCGGTTTGTGTTGTCGCTGCCAGCGGGTCTGTCTGCAAGGCCGCCGCCGTCTCCTCCCCGAAATAGCATCTTGGTGCCTTCCGGGGGCTTGATTACAGGGAGGAGGTCCCAGTGCCCAGAGGAGACGGGCAGACGCGCGTGTGCGCGTGTGGATCTTGTGGATCGCGCATGTGGATCGTGCTGGGGGGTGACGGTGTCATCGGGTCCCGTGCTGACCTGGGAGCCCTGGGATGGAGAGGGGAAAGTGGCCACCGTTATGAGGGACATTTCAGGCCAGAAAGGTGAGCGGATGTGGGCTCTGCTCAGAGTCACGGTGTAAAACATCTGCCCACACTTCAGGGTCCGGAGGCAGGGGGGGCGGCTGGCTCTCGAGCTGTGAGCCCCCAGAGGCAGGCCAAGTGGCCGTCCAGGTTGGCAGCCCCCACAGAGCAGGCCCAGACCGTG